CCTGAGTCCCAGTCTACCAGAAACAGTAACATAGGGATAAACTGGGTTCATAAAAGCTCAGAAACTGGTGATGCTTTTGCTAAATAAGCTGCCATTTTTCTCTATCTTGCATATGAATCAAACTGGAGCTTTTTTCTCCTTTTGTTTTTCTTTTGTGGGTGTGTGACCTTAACAAATTACGTAATTTGATGTCATCAAGCAGTTGACATATTCACTATGTGTCTGGACGTTGTCATTTCATATGCAGAGACTGCAGTCCCTACTGCTTGATACATAGTCAGCAACTGCTAATTAGAAGCTTGTTTAAGACAGACAAACAGGGGCGCCTGGGTGGCTCAGTCAGTTGAGCATCCGACTTCGGCTCAGGTCATGATCTCATGGTCCTCTCTCTCTGCCCCTCCCCTGTTCACGCTCTATCTCTGTCTCAAGAATAAATAAACATTAGAAAAAAATTAAAAGAAAAAAAGACAAACAATTTGTAAGAAAGTGTACTCAGAATATGCGCAGTACAAAGCTTAACACTCACATGAAAGAAAACATTAATCAGTTGTAATTCTAATTTTAACTAACTCTGTTGTGAAAATTCATCACAAGATTAACCTATGTAGAAATTGATAGAACTGTCACCTAGCTAGGACATATAAAACCAAATTCAAACGTATGAGTTTCACAAATATGTGAAGTAGCTTCATAAAAAAAAAAGTTGTCATTAACAAAACAAACAAACAAAAACCGAGAATCTAGGCAGACGTAGATAGAATATAAAAGTACCTTGTGGGAGAAAATGAACAAGGGATTGGCAACACAGGAGAGAAAGACCTATCCTGTTCTCAATAAGTTGTATGAGCTTGGGCAAATTATGGAGCTTCTGTGGCGTACTTCTGAATTTATCATGGGTTTTATTAGACTCTGAGCTACTCAATGACAGAGACTCAGCCTAACTCAGCTCTGTATTCCCAGAACCTAGCCCCACTGTGTGTGTATATGAGAGTGCTTTGCAATGTACTCTACGAACGTAAATATTAAGCTATGTATTTATCTTATTTTGTAATAGTTCTTTCTCTTAGTTTTTTTTTTTTTTTTAGTTTACTTTTTGAGAGAGCGAGAGTGAGCAGAGGAGAGGCAGAAAGGGCGGGGAGGCGGGGGGAGAGAATCCCAAACAGGCTCCACACTGTCAATGCAGAGTCCGAAGCGGGACTCAGACTCACAAACTGTGAGATCATGACCTCAGCCAAAATCAAGAATTGGACACTTAACCAACTGAGCCACCCAGGTGCCCCATTTTGTATTAGTTCTTAAATAGTCAATATTTTTTTATTTTTTAAATAGCAGCATGAAGTCTCAGCTCCCTCATAGTTTCGTTTGGTTTTAGTTCTGATTTGTTTTTCAGAGAGAATTGAATGCAAGGCCCCTAGCTGGCATAATGTTAAGCCTATACGGAGGTCAGTGTTATAATGATGACTGATTTTTAGAAACAAAGAATTATATTATATTTTGTGAGTTTTGGAGGGAGGGGAAAGAAATGTATTTTTCCTACAGAAATAATATTGTAAGTGGTAGTTGTGTTCCTAGGCCATTCCTCAAATTACTTTTCCTCATATACTTTAAACTTGTAGTCATAAAATGATATTATAGTTACAGGCCTCAAATACATAGCTAGTAACCAAACTTGTGGAGAAGCTCACTACACATTCTGAGCAGGGGCTACAAGAACATATTTCTCTATACAGTCTTTCCTTTCTACTACTCTCAGCACTGGCATAGAGGAGGGAGACGAGTAGGGATCCACTCCTGAATTATGAATTCCAGAAATTTGCTTACTCTTTATGGCTGCAACAGAAGAAAACAGCTATCATGGGTGCCTGGGTGGCTTAGTCAGTTGAGCATCTGACTCTTGATTTTGGCTCCGTTTGTGATCCCAGGGTTATGGGATCGAGCCCCACATCCCACTCTGCGCTGAGCATGGAGCCACTTGAGATTTTCTCTCTCTCTCTTGCTCTCCCTCTGCCTCTCTCCCCTGCTTGTGCTGTCTCTATCTCTCTCTCTCAAAATTAAAAAGAAGGAGGAGGAGGAGGAGGAGGAGGAGGAGGAGGAGGAGGAGGAAGAAGAGGAGAAGGAAAAGAAGAAAACAATTATCTAGATTGGGAGATCAGAATTGGAAGACAGAAACTTCTCTGGTGATGTTATGGTTAAAGTCTCCGAATTTCAGTTTTGCTGCCATCCGTTCAAAAGGATGCTTTGCAGCCATGGACACCTATAGCACTCAGACTCTGGCCATTTCCTGGGGTGCCTGCATGGCTCAGTCAGTTTAGCGTCCAACCGTGGCTCAGGTCATGATTTCATGGTTCATGAGTTTGAGCTCCACGTCGGGCTCTGCTGACAGCTCAGAGCCTGGAGCCTGCTTCAGATTCTCTGTCTCCCTCTCTCTCTACTTCTTCCCTACTTATTCTCTCTCTCTCTCTCTCTCTCTCTCTCTCTCTCAAAATTAAACCTTAAAAAAAAAACTTCTTTAAAAAAAAATAAAATAAATAAATATATGCCATTTCCTACTTACAGAAACCAAAACTCTTACAGGAAGTGACTGATTCCAGGTCTGATGCAAAAAATGTATAAGTTGAAATGAGACATTATGTTGGGCCAAAAGCAAGAAGCTTACTAAAGAACCTCTGAGGTCACTTGTGTTTAAAGGACACAAGAGCCAACCTGAGTGGACTAACACTGGATCAAAGATAGGACCATTTAAAAAAACAAATTATTTCATTGTGGAAAGAACACAACATAATTCAAACATGTTAAAGTAAAGAAAAGCTTAGAAGAATTCTTGGATACCTTTCATACAGCTTCAACAATTATCAACGTGTGGTCAATCTTATTTCAGTGCCAGCTCCACCCATGATCCCTCTCCACCACTGGATTATTGTGAAGTAAATACCCAATAGCACATCACACATCATTTAACCTGCAAGTATTCAAGCTATATCTCTAAACGTTAAGAGCCATTTTTAAAATGTAATCATGGTATAGTTTAATAATGGGACATCAAACATCAAGAAGAATCTACTGTGATAGGCTGAGCCATATGAGATATGTACAAATGATGATGCCTTTTTAAATTTTTTTTTTCAACGTTTATTTATTTTTGGGACAGAGAGAGACAGAGCATGAACAGGGGAGGGGCAGAGAGAGAGGGAGACACAGAATCAGAAACAGGCTCCAGGCTCCGAGCCATCAGCCCAGAGCCCGACGCGGGGCTCGAACTCACGGACCGTGAGATCGTGACCTGGCTGAAGTCGGACGCTTAACCGACTGCGCCACCCAGGCGCCCCGATGATGCCTTTTTAAAAACCCTCACAGCTTGCTTTTAGAGATCATTAGGTATAAACTTATTACTCTGGAAATTGTTAAGCAAAAGAAAGAATCAAGGATTTATCCTACCTCTCCTGTACACACTGAATTTCAAAATAGTTAATAGGACAAAATTCTTGGTAGAATGCCAACAAGTAAAGATAGAAGAAATGCTTTTGAAAAGCATAATTTTGGAGCCCCTAATGCATAGTTAACTTACCCAAGGATTATCACGGGATGCTAAAACCATCAAGTGAACAAAAATTCATAGTGGATGGTATCAGCCAACCTGAATCCTGGAGCCATTAATCAATCTTAGTGCCACTGAAAGTGAGACATCTTAACATTATGTGCCTCCTGGTCTGAATGATCTGCTGCAGTAAAAAAACACATCAACACCTATAACATGTTCTTGCCCAAAACAGAAAAACAAAAACCCAGCAACTGAATATATCCAAGCTTCCAGAGGTAACTGCCAGTTTACAGGAAGAGGATCAAATCACATGTCTAGGGACACAAATGGCATAAAGGGTGGAGAAAGTGGAACGGATGGTCTCTGAAGGAGACTTGACGGACACATCAACCAAATACAGTGTTAACCTTGTTGAGATTCTGGTCCAGATAAACAAACTAAAATATTTTGGGGGTAATAAGGGAATATGAAAATGGCCTGAGAATAGAGGATGTTAAAGAATAATTAATTTGTATGGTATGATAATGATATTTTGGTTGTGTTTAAAGAGCACTTATCTGTTAAAGATACACAATGAAGTGTTTCCAGGTGAAATGATGGGTTGTCCAGCTTGGGTTCAAAGCCTTGCTATTCAAATAACGTGCAGATCAAGCAGCACTAACTTCATCGGAGAGCCTATTAGAAATGCAGAAACTCCGGCCTCCTCCTAAGAACCACTGTAGAGTCAGAATCTATGTTTTCACCATGATCTCCAAGAGATTTATATGCATACTCAGTTTGGAGGAGCACGGCTTTAAAATAATTGGAGAGATGGGATAAAAGAAAGAAGATTGGCAAATATTGAAGCTTATAGAAACTGGGGGATAAGTACATGGGGATATGATTGATTATAAGTCAAGTAGTTTTACACCAGGGACTGACAGACCGGATCAGTGTGTGTGTGTGTGTGTGTGTGTGTGTGTGTGTGTGTGTGTCCAATCCAGTGATTTGTTCTTGTTTACTAGTTTGAGCTGTAAATGTTGACATAAATATTGCCTGATTCCCTCCCCTTATAACTGAACAGCTTGTCAAGTTGTTGGGTAATATTCAAAAACCTTTAATGCATATTTCTTTTGAAAGTGTTCTTGTCATGGGGCACCTGGATGCCTCAGTCATTTAAGCGGTGGACTTCGGCTCAGGTCATGATCTTACATCTCATGGGTTTGAGCCCCGCACCAGGCTCTGTGTTGACAGCTCAGAGCCTGGAGCTTGCTTTGGATTCTGTGTCTCCCTCTCTCTGTGCCTCCCCCGCTTGCACTCTCTCTCTTTCTCTCTCAAAAAAATAAATAAACATTAAAAATAAAATTTAAAAAAAGTCATACAATAAAAGTGTTCCTTGCCAAATAAAATTCTTCCTTTAAAATTTATGAAAAAGACTTATTTAAACTACTAATGCCACTTTATTGTCAATTCCCCTCTCTAGGGACGCTTGAAAAGACCTCTTAAGAGCCTTGATAGTGCTCTGTATGATGACGACCATGACGAGAGAGCAAGCAAGTAAGTCATGATGGATTTTAGAATCCTACTAAGTGTTGTGGCCGAAAGGCAGGAGTTCTAGGATTTCAAAAGATAGTTGAAAGAATGTACAGTCCTAGAGATCAGATTTTGCTGCCTTACGGTGTTCTTCAGCAAAAAGAGCCAGTGCTCAGTGGAGTCTCATGGGGGATGAATCTTGAGATGGGAAGAAAGATAGACTTGAAATATCTTATTCTTGGAAAACAATGATGCCTACAGAAATATCTGGAATAGTGTTAAAGGAGAGATAGAAACCCACCCAAGTTAGGCTCCTACCCACCTAGTAAAGAGGGGCAGGTTAAATGGCAGGAACAGTGATAATAGTCAATTAAAATAAATTGAGTCACGGGGATAGGAGGGGTTTAAGTCCATGGTGATATCAGAAGGTGAAATTCTAATACAAAATGTTAAAAATAATTTTACTATAAATAAGGAAAATAATAATAGTAGGTGTTTAATTTTTTTAAACAAGTTTGACATAGGGAATGACTCTTTTTTCTCTGTTAAGTGTATCTTTGTCTATATAAAGGAATATGCATTCTTCTCTAAAATAAATGAATAAATAAAGAGAAAACCACATACCAATATTGAGAGTTAACTTGGCTATAGCGAATCCTCCAAGTGTTCCGTCTACTATTTCTACGGCTAATGTCCCAAATCCCACAGAATTAGACTGTGTGAAAAGCCCTGCTTCTGCTTCCAGATTAAGGACCCATAGCTATTTGTTTTTTCTTTGTGCATGTACTCAAAATTTCCCATATTTGTATTGGCATATACACATCTCTATGAAGAATTTGACCATGAACCAGTTAGCCATTTTGCTGTTGTTCCACTGAAAAGCACTTTGGTTTTAAGACTCTCTCACTGCTTGAATGTAACCGGGGAAGGTTCTCATATGCCATGTGCGTGACTGTAACTACTAGGATGTGCTTCATTTTCCTTCAGGTTATCCTCTGAAGATGGAGAAGAAGCTTCTGCTGATTTTTATGAAAGCGATGACTCCGTTGAAGCAAGAGTAAAGACTCCTTACTCAGGTGAAATGGACCTACTAGGAGAGATCTTAGATACACTGAGCACACACAGCTCTGACCAAGGAAAGCTGGCAGCAGCGAAGAGCTTGGATTTCTTCAGATCAATGGATGATATTGATTACAAACCTACGGTTAGTTGATTTTTCAGCCTTAAAATCAAATGAAAACATACTTACCCTTTGCTATGAATTGCTTCATGTTATATATAGTCCTAGTTGGTCAAAGCGTTTAACCTCAAACAGGTAAGTAGTCAAATCTTCAAAAATATAAAATTTAACCACGAAAAATTCCAGTATTTTCCAATTTTGTGTCTGATTCTAGTGGTTATTGTCATTAATTGAAAAAAAAAATTATTTTGGGGTGCCTGGTGGCTCAGTAGGTTAAGTGTCAAACTTTGGCTCAGATCATGATCTCACAGTTTGTGAGTTCAAGCCCACATCAGGCTGTGTGCTGACAGCTCAGAGCTTGGAGCCTGCTTCGGATTCTGTGTCTCCCTTTCTCTCTGCCCCTCCTCTGCTCACACTCTGTCTGTCTGTCTCTTTCTCTCTCAAAAATAAACACCAAAGAATTTAAAAAGAAAAATCAAAAAAAGAAAAAATGTTCTTTTATCAAGCATAATAGTCTCTTATGATCTGATTTTATAGTTGTCTTTTTTGGGCACTTTTTTAGATCTGAAATGTTTCTACTTTTTTTTCTATATTTCTTGGATCTTCAAAAAAGTGTTTAATAAATGTATCAATTCAAGTAATTTTTTTATTATATTACTTTAAAAATGAGCAGTGTTTTAAACAAATTGAACTGAATGTTTTAAAAAACAAGAGATGGAAGTATGAATGATGGCAACCATGTTGTGACTGTAAGTAATTCCAGAACTTGGCATTGACTATACGAGGTAGCTGGTCTGTTTGGGTTCTTTGGCGGGAGGGGACTTGGCAAGTTCTTTTTATTTAATTTTTCATCTTTATTGACATATATTTATATATTTTCTTGTTAATAGAGCCATTTGCAGGTGTTCAGAATTCACTATTGATGCTATATTTCTTCTGCGAGGAACTTCAAGTTCCCAGCCATGAAAGATACTAATATTTATTTCAAACTGGAAAATAATTTGCTGAAGTAATACTATAGATTCATTAAAATTTTTCTGAATTTGTGGTTTCTGCTTTCAGAATAAATCCAATGCACCTAGTGAGAATAATCTGACCCTACTTTGCAGTGGTTCTGGTGACCAAGTAGAGTGGCATCTTGGGCAAGATGATAGTGCCCTTCATGGCAAACACCTTCCTCCATCTCCCCGGAAGCGAGTTCCCTCTAGTGGTTGGACAGATTCTCTGTTTATCCTGAAAGAGGAAAACAATGAAAAACACCTCAGTGTTGACAATGTGAGGGGGCCCGCGGTCACAGAAAAGGCAGCTTCTGCTTCAGAACTGGATTTCCAGTTAGCTTTGCCTGAAGTTTCCGAAGATGAAAAGTGTAAAACAGAAAGGAAGGAAACACTAAGCCAGATTTCAGATGATCTGCTTATACCCAGCCTTGGGCGACATTCATCTACTTTTGTCCCTTGGGAGAAAGAAGGGAAAGAAGCCAAAGAGACTTCAGAAGATAGTGGACTGCTTCATGAAGTGGTGTCATTATGTCACATAACATCTGCCTTCCAGCAAGACTTAAACATTTCAGAGGAAAACACAAGTGGAAACCAAACTTAAATCAACAGTTAAGAGTCATGTGCATCTAAGCTTCTATGGAGACATTTTAGGATTCCATGTAATCTCTATAGTAAACAGAATTATATGTAGGAATGACAGTTGTTGGACTGTCTAAAAATTATTGTTCATTTGGAGCATACATTTTTCCCACTCATTCATCTCGTGAGTGTGATTATATATTGACTGATTTTTTTAAATGTAAAGCTAATTCTCCTACTGTGCTCTTAAATCAGGTACTAGTTTGTATGTATGTTGGAAGTATATGTTGAACATATGATTTCCCAGTATTTGGTGCTTAATGCCATTCATTTATTTAAACTAAGTATGCATATATAACCCTTGCACATAACCAGTAGCTACTATTCTAATCTGGTTGAGCATGAACTGATCAGGATATCAAAACTTCTCAAAACTAGCCTGAAACTACTGAAACTGTTGACCCACTAACTGCCTTAATCTTAAGCCTATATTTAGCATACTTTAATAATTTATGGAATTACCTGTAAATTTTGAAGAATAAGTTATAAGTGTTCTGCAGAGCAATAATGCCTTTTTCTATTCATTGAATCAAGGACAAAATTAATTTTTCAAAGTTAAAAAGCTCTCTTGTGGACACTGCAGCCATGTTTTCCAAAACGTATAAAGGTACACATTTACCTTTCACTCAGTGAAATATATGAAGTGCTGAATTACAATGTGAAATTGATGACTTCTGTTTACAAATGAGACACTTTAAATTTTTTTCCCAGTCTCTCTGTATGCCTTTGCTATCTAGGAATCCAGTCCCAGAAAGCCAAACATAACATGAACTATCCTGATAAAGAAATATTCCTATCTTTTTTTTCTTAACTAATAATTCTACATCAAATATTTTTATCATCTCAAATTTACTTTTTAAAATAATCGACTTTATATCTTAGAAGTTTTTGATTTATAGACAAATTATGAAGAAAGTACAGAGAGTTCCCATATAACCCTATACACAATTTCCCCTATTATTAATATCTTACATTGGTATGGTACATTTGCCACAATCAGTGAACCAATATCGATAGTCCATGCTTTATTCAGATTTCCTTAGTTTTTCCCTAATGTCTTTTTTGTGTTCTAGAATCCCATCCAAGATACCACATTACATTTGGTTGCCGTGTGTCTTTAGATGCCTCTTGGCTGTGACATTTTCTCCGACTTTCCTTGTTGCTGGTGACCTTGACAGTTTTGAAGAGTACTGATCTGGTCCGATAAATTGTAAAATGTCCCTCTAATAGAATTTGTCTGCTATTTTCCTCATGACTACACTGTGATTATGGGTTTGGGGGAGGAAGATTCCAGAAGTGAAGTGTCACTTTCATTACATCATATACAAGGTACATAATGTCAGCATGATTTATCATGAATGTTCATGTTGACTTTGATAGCCTCACTTAGGTGGTGTGTGTTAAATTTCTCCACTACACTTTCTCCCCTCCCTTCCTATATGGTAGTGTTTGTTTGGAAGGAAGTCACTGTGTATAGCCCACTCTTCAGGAGTAGAGCTTATGCTTCCTCTCCCAGAGGGTGGAGTAGCTACATAAATTATTTGGAATTCTTCTGCATAGGAGATTCGTCTCTTCTCCCTCAAATTCACTGTTAAATGTTGAAATTCATCTCACAAGGAATCCTGCATTGACTGCTTCATGATAAGCTAGTCTGTCAGGAAAAAAAATCAGGAAAAAAAACCCAGTGATGTTACGGTTAATTTGGTATTTGTGTATTCAGTATACACTCTGTACATCCCCAATCATGATTAGTTTTAAAAAATTGTCACTTTAGAAAAGATGTTTGAGAAACCATTCAAGAACCTCATCAGGACTGTACCCTAGAACATTTGCTGAAAGAATTTACTTGCGAGTTAAAAAAGGAATCTTGGAAGGGGTGTTGTTAAAAACATTGCTTAAAAATATTTATTCAGGTCAGTCTTTAAATAATTTAAAGAATTGACCAAGTTTTTTTCTTTTTACAACTACATCCCAAAATCTTAAGTGGATATGTTTTACTGAGGACAATTATTCATTCATGTTTATAAAGGAAGACAAGTCTTATTTTCCTTATAAGGATGGACTCAGTATACATTAAGGAAAAAAGTGTTCAATCCTTATTAAGACAAAAGCAAGACTCAAGGTTCTTGTCAAATTTTGCCTTTATATACTCATTACAAAATCCCGTTTTACTTTGTTGAAGCGTATAGTAAAAGAAGTCAACTTATCAGAAGAGCTATTTTAAATGAGAAGGAAAAAAAGGTCATTCTGGTGATTCTGGTGAATCTGCTTGGCAAATATTTCTTCATAATTTTTGAAAAGAAAAAGCCTTTTTTAACACGACTGTTCAAATGAGGCATGGGAATGGGAATATTGTGAGTGTTAGCATAGGTAAAGCTGGGGTTTTAGTCCATTTGCTTAATAGACATCATGGCTTCAGAAATGTAAGTTCTTCTGTCGCCCAGTCCCCTCATGAGATGTTTGACTACAAAACTGTGTTGTGAGGGTATTTAGCCACTCACAAGCAAGTTTGCATGAAGGTATTTTAAACTGGATTTGTGCCTTATTTTAACATGCAAAGTCAGCTTTTATATTCTGTGTTAAAAAAAAACAACAACAGCAAAAACAAAATCTGTACATGTTCTTGGAAAGAATCCAAAAGACTAGTATCCAAGAGACTACTAATCTGAAAGTATTAGTATTTCAAATCACTAATATTTTGAGTATTCAAAGTCTTCTCTTAAACTAGACTTTCCGGTGCTGCGGTGGATGTAGGGAGAGTGAAGTGAAGTGAACATGAATTCTGAAATAAACAAAAGTATTATCTTATTTTCTGCTATGCTTCTATTTTCTATTATAACTAAATGAAATATTTGTGAACTCCCCTGCTATTTGAATTTTTTTTTTCCAAGCTACATCTGTTCCACAACAGAGTTGTATAAATGAATAGGACGTTTGGCCTTGATAAATAGTCTTTCATATGGCCTCTAAACCATCATAATTCTCCCTGAATCCCACCATGGCTTTTATCCTCTTTGCCCTTAAATATTGCATTTGTGGTGTTTCAGGAGGGGATGGAAGAGTAGTGTGTGAATTTAGAAGCTGTCGTTTTGTTAAGTCAGTATGTTGTTAAGTGGCAGATTTTGATGGTTACCCACTTTAGCATATTTTAGGAAGGCACCAAAATATAGCAGGATTATTTTCCTGATTAAAAATGGATAACTCATCACTTAGGAAGTATTTATTGACTTTTATCAGTCGTATGCAAGGTACAGTAGCTGAGGATTTTAGGAAATAAAATAATTAACCTAGTCTCTGCTCTGAAGGAACCAATTAAAACATTTGAATTTAAAAGGAAAAGAAATTATAAATCTCATTAATAATAATAATAATAATAATAATAATAATATATTTTGCTTACAAGTTATTAGCCCAAGATTCTAACATCAAAAAAAGTCTTTTAAGGCTGCTTAATCAGAAAGTGCTCTAAGTACAGAACCACAGTACTATTTCCAATTTCATTAACTTTATTATTATAATGAAGTATAATAATGCTGCTATTTTAAGATATCTATTTCTAAAGGACAGACTTAGAGGCTCTTAGAAACTAAATGCCCTTGTTTATCTGATTGTCTGTCACCACTATGCTCAATCCTTTCACCAGGCAGCACAGGGCTCTATAATGGAATGATGCTTCTTTGCAATACTGAGGGCCACTTTACTTAACCTGAGGGCTAACTGAGGGTGTGGGTGCATGTTGATGGAAACTAATTTTTACTGTCTTTATCTTGATAATAGCATTCTCTAGAAACGGTCTCTGCTGTCCCTGCCTCTTAAATTAAAACTGTGTCAGTGCTGTTGTTAGGATTCTGTGCTAAGATCCTGATGGTAGAATTCAGGAATGTTCATGAATTAGTTGTTTCTTAAATAGCGTGAAGTAGACTCATGATCAAGAGGAGAAAACTGTGAATGTTCTCATAATCAGCACTAGATCTCCCTTCTCATGCAGAAAATCTGGATTTTCAGGAAAAGATTATTTTCATGAATAAATTTTCTAATGCAAATGCCATTTTGTTTAGCGGAACAGACCCTGATTCTGGGTAGATATTTGTAAATGAGAATGTAAGTTTCAGAAAGTAAAATGAATACCCAAATCTCATCCCCCAAAGCACTTCTTATAAGGAAATAGCTTTCACAGAGTCTCTGTCAGTACTCACATCTTTCCTGTGTCGCGCCCAGTACTTTGTTCATGTCTGTTTCTTAAAGCTTAAGAGGCAGAATTATTTTTGAGCAAACCGCTTCGCATTTTCATTTGGTCATGATAGGGAATTATGTGTATTTAGAAAGATGCACATTTTATTTTGAAAATAATAGGATTTTTGTGCAATATTTTTCCTGCATAATTTAGTTTATATAAATATGCACATCTGCTTTTCTAGCAGATGCCTTAAGGTCATGTCTTTCAGTATTTGTGTAAAATTATATGTAGCAATGTTCTATGTGATTTTAGAAAAAAAATCCTTTATATTGTTGGCAGGAGAAATGTTTTTGTTTATTTAAAGTAATTATGGATATTGCATTATTGTATCATAACTAACTGCCTCAGCAACAATAAATATGCAATAAGGAAATCCTGAACCTTAGGTTAGTATTGACAATACTATTACTTTAAAAGAAATGTATATAGTGCAAAATGCTGATTTTACATGTGTACATGTAACAGATATTCAGTTCTACCACATAAATCTAAATGGCATTTGTATGGTGATGACCACATATGTAGATTGTAATATCCTTTGTGATGAATCTTTGGTAAGATTTATAAAGGGCATTGCCAATACTCCTTGACTGTCTATAAATTAAGTTAATTTTTGTATGATGTACAGTTTGTTTAACCTTAGAGCTTCTATAGATTTCTACTTTTATTATACTTGAACGAGGCAGAAAAGCACTGTGGAATATCTGTAGCTCTGGATGCGATCTGCAAACATACCAAAAAATTAAACAAGGTACTGAACAGCAATATTAGCTGGATGCTTTCTATCCAGAAAGCTGTGTTTTTTTTTCAAACCATCCTTTAATTAAGTAATTTAAAACATGCAATCTTTTATCTTAAAAGATTGCAAAGTCACAAATGATTACCTCTTTGATATGATAAATGTCCAGGTCTCTTTTGTCTCTGTGTTATTTCACTTCTCAGATGAGAGCCTTAATGAGGTACCTTAACAAATCCACCCTCTGGTTGGTTATGTGATGTTTAGGAAAGGACAGAATTAGAACCCTGTGCATGCTAAATGCACCACAGGCATCAAGTATAACTTCCATGTGGTAATTTTGAGAACCATCTAATGATCATATACCAAAAACAAGACTTCTTGACTCTGTTACGATTTAGTACTTACAGCAATGCCTAAAACAGCAAGCAAGTATGAACTGCATGAAGTCCACAACTTAATATGCATAAAGGTTTTTTTTTCTATAAAAGGTACATGAGGGGTTCAAAATGGAGCTTTTCCAAAGGTTATTTCTTTTGCTTTAAATGACTAACTGTTTAAAAGTACTGAACATCTTGAGCTTTTTTGCTAGACATGGTGACAGATATCTATAAAAACCTACCCAGCATTGAGAGTTGTTTCAGTGTTCTTGCATCCTTGAGGCTACAGTATAAATCATCTCTAAAGTTGACTACTATTGGGAGGACATTGTGCATAAAAGTGTTGTTTGGGGATTTTTAAAAAAAATATGCAAACGCAAATATTGGATGAACTACATACTACCATAAAGTGCCCAACAATGCAGTTATGAAATAAAATTGGTCATAATTAAACTTTTGCATGGTGGTGACTCTTCTTTTATAATTAGCCAGTTATTCCCTCGGTGTTCTAGGTGACCTGCTGTCAGACCCAACTGTCTTCATCCCTGAGCTTTGTAACTGTTGCAGTGTAACTTCAAGCCTGAATCTTTCTGACAGGTCTGTTCGAGAGATATCCATTCCTTCATGTATGGTCAACTAATTATATTCAGTTCTAAAATCATAGAATAGGTAAGTAGAATGTCACCAAATGTACCAGAGCAGGACCATCCAAGCCAAACGACTGTATTTATTGACTTTCGTTTACAAGTCGAGGACAGAGGTGAAATACAGTAAAGTATATGAACAATGCTCTAGAGACTGGAAGGGTGACTGTCTCATCCAAGAGCTATGATAGTTGCACCTAGGGAAAAAGTCAAATTCCTACTGAAATGAACATGAAATTTCCCTTCAGTTGCAGAATTTTGGGGGGGTAATATGCTGAGATTGTCTTGTTTCCATAGAAGCAGCTATGGTCTGACAACAAGAAAAGAGATCTTATCCTTGTACACGTAAAGTTTAGCTAACTTTTATTGATTTTTAAAAAAAGTTAACTTTTTTAAAATCAAAGTATAGTTGACATGTAATGTTATATTAGTTTCAGGTATATATTGATTTGGATTTTTTACATTTTGCCTACCACATTCACAAGGGTTAGTTTCAATACCTCTCAGTGTCTGTGTATGAGAGATGGTCATATCTTTATTTTATTAATGCAGAAACAAAAAACACAATTTCCTTATGTATAAGTGGAAGAAAATATCCTCTTTGGAGTATTATTATGTAGTGAGTCTGAGAATTTTCTTGCCTAGAAGTAACAGAATGAGTTACACATAAAAGCACACATAAAAAATTTGCACATACATGAAAAATATAGTATGAGTAGCATAAAAATAAAATAGTGTACTGTGGATGTTTCCAGGTGAATTAAAACCTTCCCCCAAGTTCTGCCATTGATTTGAGTCTGTTACTTAATTTCCCTGAAGCTTTCCATCTCTTTATTTAAAATAGAAGTTATCTGTTCTTAGAATGAATTATTACTGAGAAACTGTTGTGTAGATGTTTGAATTCATGGTATTTTGGAGTATGAAACTGTAACATAAAGCTATATGAATCTTATATTTATCTAATCCGGTAGCTCTCAAACCTAGCTTTTTATTAGAACTAGCTGCACAACTTTAAAAAGAAGAAAAAAAGAAAGCACCTAGACCATGCCCTTAAGAGTTGCTGGAGTAGATACTGTAATTACTCCCATGTATACCTGAAGAAACTGAGGAATAAAATAGGTTGGTAATATACTTAATGCCCCATACCAACAAATGACCAAGCTGGGGTATGAACCTGACAGTTTGGTTTCAGCCTCCATTCTGTTAGGCAGAAATGCAGGACAGAAATTAAATGGCATGCCCAACATGGATTCCCCGTATGATTTTCTTTTCTATCGACTTTCCCCTTTATTGGACAAGCCTTTTTGTTTTTCACAAAATGTACTATGCAAGATTTTAATTTTTTGAGTACAGAATTTCCTGATAACATTTGGTAAGATTGTGTTAATGTACGGATTCTTCATTTCTCTCTTTTTTTCCCCCATACTCTCCAGCTCAGTTAATTCAATCCCACCTAACCTTTGTATTATATATACATGTTCTCTGTAGTATCTCTTCCCTTTCTTTCATCCCTTTTAATTTTAGGTGCAGTTGTTGGATAGCAGGTCAGGGAGCCCCATTTTGACTATGCATGGTAACTGTAAGAGAATGCTTGGTGAGACCAATTTTGAGAAAAAGGAAAGGTATAACTTAAGAATTGTTTAATGTGGAGCCACTGTTACACGAAGCTGTTCAGAGCATCTGAACACCCTTTCAACATCTTCACAGATATTATCTACAACGTTTTTATTTTTCTCCTGTTCAAGAAGCAGCATTGGTGACAAACGTCTTACTCTTCAGTTTGGTTTTGTTACTTTAGAATCACACTTATTCTTTTTTAATGTTTATTACTTTTGAGAGAGAGAGAGAGAGAGAGAGAGAGACAGCATGAGTGGGGGATGGGCAGAGAGAGAGGGAGACACAGAATTCGAAGCAGGCTCCTGGCTCTGAGCTGATAGCCCCCAACACGAGGCTCGAACCCATGAACTGCAAGATCATGACCTGAGCTGAAGTTGGACACTTAACCTACTGAGCCACCCAAATGTCCCTGAATCAAACTTACTTCAAATATGGAGACTGTTTCTTGTTGATGGTGTTTTCTAGTAACTGGCTTTAATTTTAAAGAATGTATTGAAAATGCACAAATTCCTTTTTAAAACTCCAGTTTCTAATTTGAGGTCTCACTTTGAGATACCGAAATAAACTGATGGTATTCGTTTAGAATTTAACTCAATTTTCTCCCAAATGTAAACTTAAAAAAGCATATTGAAGCAATAGCTGAGTTTTCAGAGATTTGATAAATGTCCGAATTAGATACAACCCATTAGGCAAAAATCCCAACTTGTGAGACAGACGTGAGAAGGAAATGCTCTGTTTTATATTATTGGCTCCTTATATATGGGATATGCTTATTGATAGACTGTTAGAAAGCCTCTTGAGTTTCTAAACAAATGACAGTTGAGAGGCACTGGAAATTAGTCTTTTCAAAACTTCCTGCTAGAAAAATGTAAGCAATGATTCCTCATCAAAATTATATTTAAAAACCGGGTGATCACATTATAGCAAAGTAACATTCTGTACAACTACCAAGGAATACTATTGGGGGGGATTGTTGCAGAGTTTTGGTACTGATATGTATTTGATATTGATATGTATTGATATTGACATTGATATGTATTGATACAACCTGCCGTTGTAAGGCGAACTAAAAGTCTGGAGATTTTGATTTCAAGATTTTAAAAGGATTTTCAAGTGGCTTTGCTAACACTATTTTATTACAAGGTGTAGGTTAGTCTGGGGTAACGGTGTTAACAGTAGAGACCATTATGTATTTTTTAACGTTTAAAGTGAATAACGTATACAACAAGCAACTGACATTCAGTTTGTTCCAGTGATTTCTCTACACGTTTGTTTAATGATTTTGAAAATGTTAGCATAGCAGGGAAGAATTTAGAGGTCATTTAAGACTTATTTGTATTTAAATTATTTGATAGAATCTCATCACATTCGACCCTTGGCACATTGTAAAGCAGGTCATGATCTCCTTTTGACATCACGGGTATTTTGAATGACATACTCAGCAATGTGGAAATTTCAGCCTAATTAGGTGCCTCTTATTCTGTGATTTGTCTTGGGTATCCTTGCTTATGGGTTGAACTTTTTTTTTTTAACCTTTCTCATCCTATTACATTTTAAATGTCACCAGACCAGTGTTTATATAGTTGGCTTCTCCCTTCCCTCTCTTTTCTACCTCTTCCGCATAGGAGCATTTCTTTCGGAGCTCTGCTACTTTTTCTGCCCTGGACAGCAAAACAACCTCCTTTCAGGATAATTGACTCTTTTCAGAAATTTCTTGGCCGTTTTGTGCAATCTTTTCTACCACCACTGTTTCTCATCCCAGGTAAGATTTCAGAAAGTATGTTTGATTTCAATTAATTATGTTGTACTTGGCACCAAATGCAAGACATTTGGTGATTTTTTTTTTCATTATGTGAATGAACTGGATCATTTCTCTATCAAATGTGAGAGAAGTATTAATACATGTACTGGTTTTAAAATCATATTTGTATGTTCCAGATATGTTTGAATAATTCAAAACATGCATTCTGATAACCTCACGTGGGCTGGGAAGTTCTGGAAGCCCTAGAGGTCTGGGCATCTGTGAAACTGTCAGCAAAAGAATGAGTTGGGGAGTTGAGGCAGGAGGAGGGGACCCTCAGATCCCTGGGCTCTGAGAGAGCTCAGATCCCTGGATTTAATTAACTTCAGTGTTCTGACACCCAGAAGGTGAGAGTTGCAGAAATGTAGGGAGATGCCTAGGAGTCACCAGCTAGCTCAGTTTGCTCCCTTGTCTTAGATGGAAGAGGTAGCAGAAATTGATTAAGGGGTAGACTTTAAATCAGAATAGAATAATCTGTGCTGAAAAGTAAATAGTATTGAACAAAGTTAGATTTCCTTCCATGGGTCATAAAGGGCGATTATGCTGATACACAAGAAAGTTTAGTGGGTCACAACACTGATGGGGGAAAAATAGCTAAATCTATTTTACACTCACATGGCAGTTTGTTGCTATAATTATTAGATTGTCCTCATTTCTCTTCAGTTTGAGACACTTAAGTCTTATTACTACAGATTCAATATTTGAACTACATTAGTACTTGGCCATAGAGGGATGTTGGATTGAAATCCACGTACTATTCTGATCACCAGTCAAGAGGACCTCCTGGCTTCCCTTCTGTCTATCAGAAAATGAAATACCAATGCGTTAGAGAAGTAACAAAGACTTTTAGGAGAATTTGATCCTGGGTTCCTGTGAAGATGTCTGTATTCTGGACCTCAGGGACCTAGTAATTTTAAGATCTCCATAAGGGAAACCTTAAGAGTAAGGCTTAACTGAATTTTCTGTATAACAAAATGTTTTCAAATTAAACCTACTCTTGGTGGTTAGTGTTTAGTTGTTTATCCTTTTGCAAAATTAAGCATTCCCAAATTGTTCAAATGGAGAGCAAATTTTTTTTTTTTTTTTTTTTTTTTTTTTTTTTTTTTTTTTTTTTTT